TGGATGGTATCAGTGGGCTCCTGTGCAGGAAGGGGAGTAAATCAGGCTGGTCCAGAGCTCTGTTCTGAAAACTGAGAGGGAGTGGGCATCTCTGCTAATAGCAAACCCTGCTCTGGTGCTACCTAGAGTTATACTGGTACCAAAGGAAGGGATCACCCAGGCGTTTCCTTCTCTAAGGGTTTGAAAACAGATGGCATGTCCTGCCCTCGTCAAAGGAGGACAAGTACAGTAATGCCGTCTAGTTCAGGGACAGGAGGTGCCCCCATGGCTCTTGCGAGGTATTTCTGGTCATATGTCTTCTCCTCCCTGGTCTGGCAGAAGTGAAACTTCTCCTTCTGGAGCAGTTGTGTGACAGTGGTGGTGTTTTTACATATTCTCGTGTTACCCCTCAGGTGAAGTCACTCACGTCCCTGTGTGTCCCTGCAGTCTGACCTGGAGCTGACCTCCTGGTTACTATGATGGGTTGATCTAGCAGGGAATTTCCATACAGATAGCTGCTGCTGTGAGGATGCACCCTTGTGTCACAAGGGTCTCACCAACACTGGAGCTTCCTTCATCCCTGTATCCATCCTCCTCCTCTTCCTCCAACCAGCTTACTTCTTTCCCTCATCCCTGGACTTCATCCCTGTGCCTTATGCACCTGGCTGCCTTCCTGGGCAGGCTCCACACGCTGTGCAGTCTGCTGCAGCTCCGTCGGGAAGTGGCTGCCGATGTCCTCCTGAAAGCCCTGCGGTTGATCTGGGGGAGACCAGGACTGGGTCCGGAGAGAGCAGAAGTGCTGCTGTGATAAACGCTTAGCTTGTCTGAGAGCCTCTCAGGCCCTTCTCCTTGGGCTCCCTGCTTGGAGCACGCCTCCTTCCATCCTGGTGTTCCTCTGTGGAGGCACAGTTGGGAGGGGTGTACCGCTGCCAGGGGTTGGTGAAGAGCTGACCACCGAAGGTTGAGCATATCCGAGATCCTGAAGGGACCGAGGTCCTAACCCTCTCCCCCAGGAATCTCTGGTCCTGAGATCGTATTTCTGCAGATCTTGCAACCTGGATCTGCAGAGGACAACTGCTGAGAATTCATCCCAATGTGCCTTATGCTGTTCCGTTTTGGGATTCACCCCGAAGGAACGTGAGGCCCAGAGGCAGCCTCTTCGCTATCTGCCGGTCCATAGTTCCTCTTAATGGCTGGTACCCGCTGACAGGATTTGCTTGGTGTACGGAGCAGGAGGGGAGGATGGAGAGAGGTGCCTTGAACTTGTATTTATGCCTAATGATTTGTGTAACAAGGCAAGGACGGGTTCCTCATGTGCCTTGCAATTTACATCTTTTACTGACAAGATTATTTTTAAGCACTGTTGGTTACTAAACAGAAGTACAAAAGAGTTTGTATTTTTTCCCTGGGGAACAGGGAAGGGTATGAGTGTTACATATTAACCATCCCCTTCCCACCTCCCATCTGCTGACTTTGTATTGTTGAAAACATTGACAATATTTTAAGCTTTGTACTGTACTGATCATTATTTAAAAACCCTATTGGGAAAAAAAAAAAGTCTGTAAAAGCAAAACGATTGGTATGGTGTGAAATTCCCTCATGCACAACTACAGAAGTTTATGAGTCATTAGGAAGAAAAGTGGGTAATAATTAGGGAGGGGATATATTAGAGTGGATAATAATTATAACAATAATGAACAATAGGGTGTGGTTTTACCTGTGCATCTCAAAGCACCTTCCAGGTTTCACAGTAACGATGTGATTTCATGCCCTTTTCCCAAGGGAGGTGCAGAGTGGCTGCCCTGACACTGACTGGAGGGATTTACGATCATCATCAACGAAAGTATCTGGGTGTCCAGTTTTCCTTAGTTTCTCTCAGAGGTGGGTATCTAGTGATGTGGTGACCTGGCCCAAAGCATTGCAGCTTCAGTGGCCAGGCTGTGAATACAAGTGCCTGGTTAAGCAAATCATTTGCGCGCGTGCTTAAAATTAAGCCAAAGAGACACCAACTGTTGATGGACAGAAGGATATCAATCAGTTAGACGTGAGCCTACATGAAGTAAGGCAGGAGCTCCTGCTCTGCTTGCTGATAGCTGTGAGGAATCACAGAATGGTTGTGGTTGGAGCGAACCTCTGGAGGTCATCTGGTCCAGTCCCTCTGCTCAAGGAGGGCTACTGAGAGACGGTTGCCCAGACAGCATTTGAGTATCTCCAGAGGAGACTCCACAGCCTCTCTGGGCAACCTGTGCCAGTGCTCGGTCACCCTCACAGTAAAAAAGTGTTTCCTGATGTTCAGAGGGAACCTCCTGTGTTTCACTGTGTGCCCATGGCCTCTGGTCCTGG